TGGGAGAAGTCCCAGACGGAGCAGAGAAGGAAACTAGAATTGAGCGGAGCTGTGTAGGAAGGTAAGGGCCAGGCTAGTCTAATGTAGGCCTTTTATTAAAATAAAATAACTTAATTATGAAAGTGTGGTGGCTATGATATTTGCCATGGTGGTGCGCCAGGATCAATTACATGTAGCAGAAACCCTGTCATATTTGAGTGACAGAGAAAGATTGTGTGTTTAGAGACATTATTTCACTAGCAGAAGTGCTACCTGCATGACAGAGGAGTGTGTTTTTTATTCATCTGGATGAAGAGAAAAATTCTGGGAGATAAAAGTTTCACTAAACAGCTGAGGAAAACTGTGGAGCTTTTAAAGTGGAAATCATGGTGGTATTTTGTGTTTGTCTTAACATACAATTTGGTTAAATCGTTGCTTATCCTCCATTCACTCTTTGAATTTGGTGATTAAAAAAAACACAGCTGCCAGCTACAGCTGATGCGTTTCACCGTTTTTGTTGTGGACGTTGGGGTCGGCTCCACTCTTGAGCAGCTTCAGGGCACACAGTCTCTGTCCTCGATGGGCAGCGCAGTGCAGCGGAGTGTTGCCCAGCAGATCTGTGCAGTTGATATCAGGAGGTTTCTTCTTGCTGAGCTACAGCAAACACACAGCAGGAACAGATAAGAGATCTGAGCCTTTGCTTCCTTATTATTCTGCTCCTCTCACATTTCTGACTGACAGAAACTGGATTATAGGTTTTTTTTTACATTCTGTATATTCCAACAGACTTTATTGTCTCCTTAAGGAAATTTGTTTTGGACCAACAAACAAAAAAAAACTTCATGTAGCACCATGACTGCAAGACTGAACATGTATTTCTGTGTAACTAAGGTTTGTTTTAATAACAACAGAATGTGGTGAACATACATGCACTTACATACATAAAGATGTGTATGTGTCAGTGTAAAAAGTTTAAAGCTAAACTGCTCTCATACAGGTTGAATTTGGAGAAATTTACTTTTGTTACATCATTTGGTTTGAAATGCATTCCTCTTATTTAACTGTCATGAATAAATCGGTTCAGGTAAATGTACTTTGAAATATTAAAAGGTAAATACTACACCGAAAACTGACATATAACTTTTTTTTTTATCAAACTAAGAGATTATCAGAGACAAAACACAGGATACATTAGAGCCATTAGACATTGTTATAGATGATAAAAAGAGAAGGAGGTGAAAGTTTTTGATCGAACTTCTTAAAGTGAATATAAAGAGCAGTGGTGGGCACCAGCCCTCTAAAGTACAAATCCGCTAAATGCAGACCTAAATATTTCATTTGCGTTTTAGCGGTCTTACTAATTTTTATAATTCATAAGCAGATTTGTGTTCTAAAGTTAAAAAGCAGTACCACTAATAACTAATTATCTACCAGTCATCATTATCTTCAACAGCAGAAGGTATGACTGTCAATGAATCACAACACATGTGATCTATCCAACAGCACCCCTCCCAGATAAACACACTTATTGTGAAGGTATACATCCTTACTGACTGTTGTTTTGGGTCACGGTTCTGATTTCCCACAATGCTTTGTGTCTGCTTACGTAGCAGGAAGACAATAGCAAAAACAGTAAAAGTTTGTAATCCATACTAAAATTTTGTATGTATTGATTTATTTTACTTTACAATCGGAGCTCCTTTTTTAAAAAAGAAATAAAGTTTAAACGCTGGAGCTCAATACTTGACGTAATTGGTCGAAGCAATCGGCCAACGGGGTTAGAGACTCAGAAATGCTTTAAAGATGTTATGCTGATGTAGGGGTCACCTGGAGTGAAGAAACAAGGTTTACTGCCTCGAAGCAGGCCTAGGACAGGCCTGACGAGARGRCAGGAACACTGAACTCTATTTAGGCCATGACAGGTCATTTCAACCTAGAAGAGAATTTCTCAGTTCTCTCAATCAGWTAATGGACAGAACAATMTYTTCTGTTCGTGATTCATTTGTTGTTTAACTAAGAATGTTTATGCATTTGTTAAACCATAATAATGACTGTCACAAAGAAAGTGGAATCACTTCTACTCCTTTATCGTGCCTAAAAGATTAATTAATGTTATAAAAAAATCACAGAGAAAATCATCACCATGTTTTCATTGTGTTTTTATATAAATCACTGTTTTTATTTTACTGGAAACACAGTAATATAATTT